TATTATTTGTGAATCATCGGTCACAACAATCATGCATGGTGATGGACGCACATGCAGTATCTCATCTCCGGATATAGAAAATGAACCCTTTTTAACCTGCTGGACCAACTCAAAATGGATATCATGAATACAGCCCCTATACAGGTATTACTGGTTGAAGTACTATCTCTAGACAAAGAAGATTAGACCACCTGCTTTGAAGCTATACATAAAGATTACAAGGCTGCTGTTAAAAAGGATTCCTATAATCGGCAATATGCCTTGGCATATGCATACTATCTAGGAAGTCTAGCTCTGGAGTACCCGAGTAATATTAGTGAAAAGACTTGGAAGAAATTAGGCAAAAATAGAAAGAGAGTTTGGGTCAGAGTTTACGAACTTTTTCAAGCTGCAGGAACCGATCAAATTTACTGTACTAATACAATGAAGCTCAGAGACCTTGACAATTTAAGTATTGAGGAATTTAATGAGTTACTTGAATTTGTTAGATAGCATAGACATGGATAAGGTTTTTGGTGGACCAAAAACTTAAGGGGAGGAAAATGTTGTGAAATAGGTTTTCATAGATTAGCTTAGTGTAGCACATAATTTAGATTTTATATTTTGTATTATTTAACTTATATTTATTAGCTTATATTTTATATTGGATAATTATATTATTTGTATTATTATTAGCATAAGAGATAACAGAGACTTTATTAAGTAAAATATTAGAGTAGAGCTACTGTAGCACATACTGTGGCTAAAATAAACAAGGTAGTATCAAAGACGATACACAGCCCTCAAAGTCCCTCAAGTCCCTCAACACGGCCTTCAATTCCCTCAACACGGCCCTCAAGACCCTCAAGTCCCTCAACACGGCCTTCAACTCCCTCAACATGGCCTCCAACTCTCTCAACATGGACCTCAACTCTCTCTACTACCTTGGCTTGGCATGTAAAAGATATATAAAGGGTGTATTTGCCCCTTCTGCTTGGTTTAGAGTTCATACCCCTCTCATAGCATTAGATACTTCTCTTATTCCCTCTTGTAAAGTGTAATATTCCCCCTCTAGGGTAATTCTTACAGGCAAGGCTTATTACTATCTCTTATTTAATAAAGTTATATACAGTTACTATCTCGAATCGTTTGCCTCCTGCTAGTGAAGTAATCTAACCCTTTACTTCCACCCCGTGTATATTCATAAAGTATATCACTGCACCGGGTGACCTTGTTACTGTGCTATATTGGTACTTAGAAGGCTATAGCATTGTAACACTATCTTTTGGTTTGCAAGTTGTTGAGAGACAGGCGAATGTGATGGATAAAAAAAAAATAATCTTTTTGATAACTAAAGGCCTTAAATGCCCTTGCCTTAGTAATTTACAATCTCTCCTTTTTTACATTGCTGATACACATTCAATAACCCCTTGCTTCTCTTACTATTTTCTAATTATCATAGTAATTTATATTTCAAAGTTATACAATTACAGAAAGATACTTGTATCTAACCAAAAAAAACTATAAAAACTAAAATAGCTTGATAAATTACAATTTGTGCATAAAATAGCACATTTCTATATAGTAATAGTTTTGCTAGAAAATAAATTTGTATCTTATCAGAGATATATATTATAACAAAAAAAAATTTGTATTATAACAATAATGATTAATTATATAATTAGTCATTGTGCAAATAATTAATTGATTTTTAATTTTTAATTGATCTTAATTGATCTAAATTAATTACTTTCAAACAATTTATAAATTAAGAAAATTTTCACCAATTATCATTTCTACTTTTTGCTATAATTTTTCTAAAATTACCAATTTAAATAGCTAAAATTTTTACTAAATATAGATATAATATTAAGCTATAACATATTAAAATTTAAGCTGATTTAAATTATTACTTCTTAAGAAATTATTTAAAAACTATAAATAATTTTTTTAAAAAAATTACTTATAATTTTTAAGCAATTTTTCAAGATTTATCAATTCAAATTGGTTAAATTTTAATATATATATATAGTCAGACCTCTCTAAGTGCATATCATTGGGACCAGCTCTGAGGTATGCATTTAGAGAGGGTTGCATTTAGAGAACACTAATAGAATTATAGTATATAAGCAACTGTTAATAGAAATTAAGCATATCTTCATTTAAAAAAAATTTAATGCCTTAGCTTTCATAGCTCATATTGCGATGAATTTTAAAGCTATTTTAATGATTTTAGATTCAAAAAAAAGCTTATGCTTAAGCTTTCTTTTGAATATTAAACTATCAAGATAGCTTTAAAATTCATCGAGATATGAGCTATGAAAGTTAAGGCATTAAATTTTTTTTAAATGTAGATTTGCTTGATTTTTATTGATGGCTGCCCATATACTATATAAGTTACATGTTAAAATTATCTTGTATAGGATTATATAATCTTGTTTTGATTGGCTAATAATCACATAATATGCATTTATAGAGGGATTTATATAGGTGGGCCAGGAAAATAGGATGCATATGCAGAATAAAGAATATGCATTTATCTTGATGGGCCAGATAATTAATATGCATTTAGAGAGGTTATGCATTTAGGGGAGATGCATTTAGAGAGGTCTGACTGTATATATATTTAATATTTAAAGTAAGACCTTGTTCTTATCTTTATTAAACTTAATAAAAACTTTTTACATAATTGAAAAAGGTTTTATATTTTAAACCTAGTGCTAAGAATAAGAACTCAGACATATAACTAAGAGAACCTAGAAACTAAGTATACTTAATAACTTATCTGTGGCCTAAACCTACCAGAGTGGCCAAAGCTCACCTAGATTTGAGCTAAATTAAAAATATATGAAGAGTGTATATAATAATTAATCTAGTTTGAATACCAAGATGATACTTTTAAAGAAGATATTTGAAGAGTATAGAAGTGTCAGATATAGAAAGTGTATTGTGTAAGGATTCAAGTGTAGATGATAATTAAGGTTGCATTAGTTAAGGTTGAAGTCTTAAGTTACAATAAGGAATTCAGATATTTGAATAAAGTTGTTTGTTGATATAAAGAAGAAGTTGTATAGAAATTGAGGTAGCTAATTGGTTAGATGTAGTAAATTCGTGAATTGTATATATAATATCAAAAGGGACAAGACTAGAAAGTGTAAAAAAAAATAGAGAGCTTGTTAGAAGAGTCATATATTAAAAGGCTATCAAGGTTGACAACTTGGTTGTGTAGCTAATTAACTTTAGGTAGAGAGATTTGAAGTTTATAGACAAATAGGATTTGTTGTAAAGAATTTTGAATAAGTGTATATAAGAAGTTGGAAGAAAAGCATATAGCCCAATACAGCATAGTACTTGTTTGTTAACATATATAACAGGTATTAGAGTAGAGAGTGTTTCTTTTATATAGAATATGAGATACAGGGAATTTATCAGTGAGAAGTTTAACTCTAAATATTTAAGAGTGAAAGACTGGAAGCTATGAGTAAAGTTAAAAACTTTTTGATTGTTGTTTAGATAAAGCCAAGTTGCATTCCAATTCAGATACTGAGAAATCCGTATCCATGGTTGAAAATGATTTTAAGATGACCAGAGAGCAAAGATATTTGCATGATATATAGTTTAAACTTAAATTTTAATATATTGTAATTCAATATTATATTTATCATTAGTAAAAATTTTAGCCAATTTGGATTAGTATTTGTAAAAAAAATTATAGCCAGAGGTTGACAGTTTTTATATATTTTTAGTTATTAATATTATAAATTATATTGGGCAATTTTAATTAGCTAATAATACTGTACTATATTATATAGCACCTAATAATTTTTCTGACCCTCTCTTCTCTAAAAAATCAGATAATAAATGTCTCTACTCTAACTATATGGGTGAGTCAATAGAAACACACCAAATTTTTTCTAAGTAAATTTTTTTAAAACTTTGAACAAAAATAATTTAACAATAACTTAATCAAATTTAATAAAAATTTTTTTAAAATAATTCTAATAACTTATAAAAATTATTTTAAAAAAATTTTACTAGATTTGATCAAGTTTTTGTTGAGTTATATTTGTTTAAAATTTAAAAAGGTTTCATCAACAAAGATTTGGTGCGTTTCTATTGACTCACCCCCATATATCACAAACCTGAAGTAAAATCTCAGATACTTTTTCTTTTAATCAGAATCATTTATTTATTTTAATATTTTTCTACCACATGCTTTGCTAAGATTCTAACATATTCATATTCATCCAAAGTATTATCAACAATTGTCAAATAAACAGAACAAATAATGTCCAATGATTTTTCTAATAGAAGTGTTACTAGTCTAGAAAATTGGCTTGGCATGTTAAAAAAGTTATAAGAGCTTTAGGGTTAAAAAAGTGATAAGTTTTATTATGAGGTTAAAAAGGTACAAGAGTTTTAAGATATAGCAAAATTATACAAAATCAATTTCATATTCTGCCTTTTTGGCTGGCCAATGGCCAAAAAGGGCAAAAATTATTTGGCCTAATAATGTTGTATAAATTAGGAAATTTTGATTAACTATTAGCCAATTGGCTGTTGGCCGTTGGCCGGCCAAAAAAATTGTTTGGCCGCAAAAAATTGTCAACACAACATATTACTTATTTCTGTTATACGATGCGTTCAGAAAGAGTTCTACAAATGTATGTACGTACATTCACACTATTTGATCTGGAAAAAACTTGAGTGGCGAATTAATCTCGGTTCATGATAATGCACTAGTTGCTAGCCTCATATTATAAATTAGAGTACATGCAGTATATATGTATCAAATAATTCTTTTTTATATACAAAATTAATCATGACACATATTCACGCTATTAAAGATAACGGTATTTTACAGGACATTCAATTTTATGCAAAATGAGAATATGAACTAAAATTAAAAACGTTTGAGTGATATTTTGAGCTGTTCTTCATAGCTTAATGATCATCGAAGGATTAGTAATGAATCAAGGTAGTAGTACGTAACTTTATCGGAATTAATGTGTCGGGTAAACTCACAAATTAGAGTATTTTATATACGTTACCTCCTTTACTCCGGTATAGCATCGTACCATGGGCTCACCTAAAGCGTCAATCAGTGTTTTGTCTTCCTTTAATGCTTTCAATGTATCCGTTAGACTTGCAGGCATTCTTTCAGTAACACCTTTTTCTATACGTTCTTCATTGCTTAGAGAAGCAGGATTGTCTGTTATTGAATTTTATAAAGAAACTTCATATTATTACAATATATGGTATATAATAATAATATTTAATTATATAATTAACCTATTTTTTCATTTACAGAATATGGGATTAGTAGTAAGCTGCATTCCTTTCTTAATTCCATCGACTCCTGAAGCAATAAGGGCAGAAAAGACCAAGTACGGGTTGGAAGTACCGTCTACAAATTTGTATTCGGAATGAACATCAAGATACTTTCCATTAGGACCAGTCTTTGGTCTATAACATACTCTAATTGGTGTTTCACTGCCATAAATTAATAATGAAGGAATTATTATACAATGTGAAACATTATTTATATAAAAAAAAATGCATGAATACTAACCAATTCTCAATACCCCAACAGATCCAAGTTCCAGCACAGCAGTTATCAACAATGCGCGTATAAGAGAGGTCTGTCGGCAAAGCAAAAGCACAAATTGCCTTTATGTGATGCAGCATACCAGCAATGAATGATCTCTCATAGGGAGATAGTCCTGAAGGGTGATCGCCAGCAATTTTCTGGGACTTGTCAATTTCTTTGAAAGATAAATGCACGTGTGCACTAATTCCCACTTAATTAATGTTCATAACAAAAATTTACGTAAATACTAGCTTAAAGAATTTCGAAAGTATGTAAACTTATTTATCGATTAAAAACAAAAAACAAACCTTGTTCCTTAAAGGGTTTAGGTACAAACGTTGCTTTTACACCAGCTTGAGCGGCAACATCATATATTGTTTGACGTGTTACAACAACTTTGTCTGCTGCAATCAATGGACTTTCTGGTGTGGTGACGATTTCAAATTTGCCTAGTCCATCAGAATGAAATTGTTCGACTTCGATCCCTTGCTCTTGCAAAGACTCAACCACCCTATCCAGGATTTCAGATGAATTAGAGATATGAAAAGAATTAGCCGCCGCATAAACTGTATCATCAACAGGCACCGGAAGTATGGTATCTTTAAGTAAGACGAACTCAAATTCTGTTCCAATCAAAAAAGTGATACCAAGATCCTTACAGGCAGATTCAGTAATATTTTCAAGACAAGTTCTAGGGCAAAGCGGGAAAGCCAAAGAATTAGGTGAATTATCAATCTTTCCAAATTGAGGGTCTACCGGTGTCAATTTATTTTCAAAGAAAACATGGACATTTGCGTGTTTAGGATTATAAGGTAAATGTATGAGTGTACTAAGGTCAGGTTTCAATAATAATTCTCCAACTTCATTGACACCAATATTTTCTGGAAGTACATCTCCATAATAAAGGGAAGCTGTGTTTGCCCGCATATTTGTCAGCCCACTGTTAATAATATAGTTTTGGAAACGATCAATGGGAACGATATGAAATCTATATTGATTAGAACATTCCATAAAGCCGATACGAACAAATTCCACACCCATTTTTTTTAATTTAACAATTCTTCGTTCTCCTGGAACATCTTTATATTCTTTAAACAGTAAATAAAACTTATATCATTAGCATTAACTGTTAAAAAGCAAATGAAAACAATAAAGGCTATTTTCTCTTTGAAAATACCTTCACTATCGATCTGTTTTGGTGTTAATTTGAGATTATACAGTGTATTGGAATTCTCGAACATAATCTGTTTGGCGACTTTTATTGCTTCTTCATATGAAAATTCACCATTTTCTACAGATTCCAATAAAACCTTAAAAATTTCCATTGTTAGTCTTAAAATAATAACATTATCAAATGTGAATACTATAACTTATATTACCTTGCTTAAAGCCTCTCTTCCTTGAATTGCAGCGACATAGAAAGATTCTGGATGGTAACGACCATCTAATTTTTTTTTATAATTTTTTGGAGCATATATAGTCAATTCTGGATATGACAAGCCTTTTCATAATAAACTCACTCTATAACGAACTTTTTTTTAATAAAATTTTTATAGAGTTGGTATAAAAAAAAACAATAAAATATTCTATAGAATTTCTTTACTATAAGAACAGCCAGTTCGTTGTACTATTATAAATACCTGTACTAAATAATATTTTATTACTTGGACAAATCTCCAACTATTCAAGAATGAAAGCACTTGTTACATGATAGATTTACTGTATAAAAGGCTTTATGAAATATGTATAAATTACCAGCTCACGTAAACTGGCTTGCTGGCCAGATGCGGAAATTAAAGGGAAAACAAGGCCTATGTCAACATACACATTGGAATATATTGAAGCAAGATATCCCGCCTGGCGGGTGTAAGGATACGCCGCACGCAAAAGAACAAACTTTACATTTGGATATTTTTCAATCAAAGGTCTTAAAGGAAAGGATACATAGAATAATCGTAAGAATATATAAATTGATGATTTAAAACGGTTGAATAAATCTATGCATAAAATGTTCATACCGTAACAAAAGTGGATTAGATGTAATCAAATCAAGGTCAGAATCACCAAATCCTAGGTCAATATAGTAAGATATTTCATAATCGATAAGATTCTGTTTAAAAACAAACATACAATATTTCTGTAGCATGCCTGTATGAAATTGAATAGGAATATCGTGCTGGACAGCGATGTCGATTGCCAAGTTAAATATGTGATCAATTAGAACTTTATTGATAAGTTTAACAGATCTTTTCTTATCAGGTAAAGACTCAAAATCCGAAATAAAGTTTCCTAATGCAATTACAGTAGCTTCAGGAATTGGAACACAGTCGATATTCAATCCTGACCTATAAACAGCAATACTTTTGAAGGCCGCCACCGATTCAGATTTTGCATAAATTTCAAATTGCTTTTTCAATGATTCTTCGAATGCTGAGAAATTCAATATTTTTTGATTGGATGTTGCTAAATAATACAAGATCTTTTCTGCAATACTTTCGATTCTCACGATTCTTCGCACTACGTCAACCAATCCTACATGACTTTGTACATCCATAAGACCACCTAAAACGTCAAGCCCATCATCCAAAAGTAAGGACTGTATGCCAGTAGATTTAAAGCAAGTTTTACATATATCAATATATGACATTAGATCCCTCACTTGTTTGATATTGTCTAAGGTTGATGGACAATTATAAAATTCAGCAAGCTGGCGTACACATCGTTTTAAAGCACTATTTTGAGGTGCATTTTTTAACACATCGCCACAAACTTTCGAAAAGCATATTTCCAATGGACAGGTCAATGATGCATCAGATGTTAGAAGATTATGGCAGTGATTGTCAATTAAAGGGAAAGTAGATACTATTCTGAGTAGAGCTATTACCCGGGTCGAGTGACCCGTACGGGTCACGGGTCGAAAATTGCTCTAACCCGGGTCAAACGGGTCAGAATTCAAAATATGCAAAAACCTACTAAAATGCAATTTAATAATATAACTATATGGGTAGAAGGCATTATAATTTACTAAATAGTAAAGCTCTTACCCGGGTCGTCTGACCTGTGCGGGTCAGCTTCTTAGGGTCAAGTATTTCCCGAAGTAGAAAATGAACGAACTCAAATAACGGGCAAGATCGAAAAATTTTCAATAAAAAAATTCGAAAAACTCCAGTTGAAATATTTGGAGTCAGGCTGTTCTCTATACTAACAGCTCTAATTAAGAGTCATTATATCAACTTTTAAGGATTAACTTCAAAAACTTTGTGAATTTTCGTCTGACCCGTTGACCCGAGTTATAACCCAGGTTAATACCTGACCCGCCCGGGTCAGTATTTTCTGACCCGGGTAAGACCTCTATTTTAATATTATTCGAATTGTCTCATCAAGACAATTTGGATGACACTAAAATCACTAAATTTTGATTACTAGATATCAAGATAATTTCAATTGAAAAAGCTTTTTCTTTGTAATTTTTAAAAATAAAGCTCAAATTTTATAAATTAATTTCTCAACAATTATCTCATCAAATCAAACCAAATTTTTTATCACTAGTATAAAAATCATAGAGTTTTAATATACTAATTTTTAGAACTTTTAGCTTTAAGCCCTGATACTATATTAATTTTTCTTTGAATTCAATTAATTTTTTTATTTTTTTAAAAAAAATCATCCCAAATTTAGCTCTCATCTAAAATTTTTTCTAGTAATTAAAAATCTTAAAAAAAATACATACGATCTAATCTATATTTGTACTAACTTTTCAAAATGTTTCAAGGTCGTAGCAACTCTCTACGAAGAGATATAGGTGTGGAAATATTTTTGTCGGGCACTGTATATAGCATATGAATCTAATCTTAACTATGATATATTATCTCATATATAACAAATGTTTTATACTATATCAAATAATATAAAATTAATACACTAACATGGAATATTAACACATAGCATAATAAAATTACAGCAAATTTATTACCAACATTGAGTATAAAGACAAAACCAATTAAGCTTATTATTTAAAAAAAATAAGAAAAATATTAGTAGATATTAGTTAGGCAAATCTATTAGTTAGTATTTTAAGGCAAAAAAGCAATAAATAAAAAACAATATAATATTTACCCAAACTAAAATCCTGATTTCATACAAGAAAACAAGCGAAACTATGTAAAAAAAAAAAAAGCTGTTAATAACCATGTTTAACAACAAAGAAATACTAGATAAAACTTATTTAAGAACACAAAAAAAACAAAACATACCCAAAACCAAAGCTTAATTCCAATACAAGTAAAGCTCTACTTAAAAAAGAAGTAAACTTTAGTTAAATATGAAAAAGCAAAAAACACTAGCTAAAACTAGAAGCCTAATTTTAAAATAGTAAATAAAACCTATTTAAGAGTACGAAAAGAATAAAACAATACTAAAACCAAAGCTTAATTCTAATACAAGTACAAAAAGAATAAAATATCACTAAAACCAAAGCTTAATTCTAATACAGATAAAGTTTGAAGAAACAAAAAACACTAGCTAAACCAGAAGCCTACTCAAAAACCAAAGCTTAGTTTCAAGAATATAATTGAAACCTACTTGAAAAAAAAAATAGATATTAGTTGAATATGAAAAACAAAACACTATCTAAACCCAAGTCTAATTTAAGAAAACAAATAAGTTTACATGAAAATATAAAAAAAATATAGATATTTAAAATAGAATACCAATTCCAAGAAAACAAGTAACCAAGCTAGCTTAAAAAAAAAATAGTTAAATATTATTTAGCTAAAAAAAAAATCAAAATATAAAAAAAAAAAGCTGATGATTATTATCAATCATCAACTATTTATATCTCTGTGATTAGAAGATATACCAAATTATAAATTTCTATAAAATTTTATATAAACAAATATAGAATTTTTTTTTTTTTTTTTTAAGTTTTGATAGTCTTGCCAGTGTTCTAATAACAGAACTTTATTTAATTAGTAACAGTGAACTATCTTAAATGTAAACTAATACTTATTCCTAAACTAAATAGATCATCCTTTAATAGTAAGCCTGATATTACCTGGCTGCAATAAATGTACCCAGCTATGACTTGTCGCACCAACCTGTATACAAGTTGTTAGCCTATCAAAGCTAATCTCTTTATATCTTCTTTTTTTACTATGAGCAAAAGAAAGTAATGATTTTATATTAATAATACAAAACTACTTATAATGAAGAAAAAATAAAAAACTAACTAAAAAAAAAACAAAATAAACCAAAGGAGAATTTTAAAAGAAAAAAAACAAAGAGAGAACAATAACAATATAAAAAAAGAAAATTGAAAAAAAAAGCTCAAAAGCTAACAAAGTAGAAAACTACCTTTATCAAAAAATAGTACAATTGGAATAAAGAAAAAAAAAAGAAAAATACACTATTATTATAATCTGTGCCAAGTTTAAGAAAAAATTTTATAACAACTGCAATATTTATATATCTCAACTATAAAGCAAAACTTTAACAAAATATTTTCTTAACTATCAACTAACTTTGTATATCTTTTTTACCAAAAACTTGATTATAGTTATGTAGGGCTATCATATCTGCAAAATATATAAAGTATTGTATTTACAGATAAACAAGATATGTGGTTGCATTCTACTGAGTTTATCTGAATTTAATAAGTAAACAATACTAATTTTTTGGATAGAGTAAGCCAAATCTCCTACTTTTTGCAAAAATTTTAAAAGATTAAGAGAAAGTATATAGAAAGCTACTTGGATAAAAAAAAAAGTATAGCTTAAGAAAAGTATATTCTTTACTGTTCTCTAGTTATTTTGTAACAAAATATTTTATTGATAAAAAACTGCCTTGTATTTTTACCAAAATTTCATATACAAAAGTACTACTTTCTGCTAATTATCTTGTATAAAAATACTAGGGTTCCTCAATTTGATTTGATTTGATTTGATTTGATTAAATATTTGATCTCAAATCAAATTCAAATCGAACTAAATTTGATTTGATCAAATTCAAATTAAATAATTATTTGATTCGAATTTGATTATAAAATATTTGATTTGATTTGATCGATTTGAATTATTTGAATTTTACTGACCAATCAAATTTCAAGTAAATACAAAAAATCAATAGTTTTATTTCACACGCTTTATACAATAATCAATTTCATATACAATACTATCCAACCAAGTTGCTAAATATATACAGTGTAGCCAAATCCTCACTGCCAATTTCTTTAATATTAGATACTGTATAAACGCAAAATAATGCCTTCTGCACTAATTAATTAACCTGCGCATTATTTCGAATATACAGTCAACTTTCCAGTTTTTTAGTATAAGTGCATTTATAAAATATTCATTTATGGAGCATAATCTACTATAGCGATAATATGTATTAAATAATTACATTAGATAGATCAAATTATATGCACTTTATCATTATAGGGAAAGTGTATGAGAAGTGCACTTGTAGAGAGTGCACATATGGAGTGTCGACTGTATCATTTATTACCGAGAACATATATGTTATTTTTAAAGGATTCAATTTTCAAAATAATGCCAATAAGCGTTATTTCGCGCTTATATAGTAATTTATTAAATGAAATTCATTCTAAGCTGAAATTCTCTGATGCAATCATTAATATTCTCACTTTACTTGCTGGGATTATATGTCAAACACCATGCTTTAAACGTGTTGTCTTTATTACAATGTATACTTTTGCTGCCATTTAATAATTGTCAAATATTATATCATTAAAATACTCACTGACTGAATAGAATGGTAGTCTGAAATTATGTGCACTTTATCATTATAAGGAAAGTGCATGAGAAGTGCACTTATAGAGAGTGTATATATGGAGTGTCAACTGTATATTATTTATCCCGAAAACATGTATGTTATTTTTGAAGGAACTGATTTTCAAAATAACGCCCATGAGCACTTATATAGATAGTAGTAATTTATTGAATAAAATTCGTTCAATTACATTTCTCATAGTTCTAAGCTGAAATTCTCTGATGCAATAATTAATATTCTCATTTTGCTTGCCAGAATCACATGTCAAACACTATATATTAAATGTGTTGTCTTTATTACAATGTATACTTTTGCCATATTCAGGCCGCAATTTAATTGGTGTATTAGTAAATAAGTGTTTGTAAACATAAATCTCTTTTTTAATCCACCGATTACTATTATTTTTATACTAAGTACCTCATGGTCAGACATTCGTTTGATTGGCTGATATAAATCAATTACCCGGGTAACTTATTTATATGGTTTAAAGTACTTTTTTAGAACTGAACATTTCACTAATAAAAAATCGCCACAAAAGCCATTTCCAGCTTTGAACGAACATTAATATTCACTATACAAAAGAATCTCAAAAGAATCTTCCTCCTCGTGAACTTTGCTTAGAAGACAAAATATATTGCCGTTTATTGGACCATGTGAAATTGTACTGTGCAATGAGGGTAACTGGAATATTTTCGTCTAAAACTACTTTGTTTCGTAAGATTTAATTAA